GCAGAACGTCGGTCTCATCACGGTCTGCCTGAAAGAAAATCGGTCTTTCGCCAGCTCTCCTGTCTCATGTACTTTCATACTCAAGGAGTCACTGATATCCTGTGCCCATCTTCGTGTTGATCGGCCCCTGCCTCTCCTTCCTGGTACCATGCCCTCTGCTATAATTTTTTTACAATCCGCCGTTGCGCTTGATATGACCAAAATATTTCAGCTTCCGAGACAGGATGCAATTTATTAGCCAATCTTCCTTGATGTTCAGATCTTTCAAGGTGTCAGTATTTCTCCTCTTTTTCGTCCAAGATATTCTGATAATCTTTCTACAGCATTTCAGCTCAAAGGCCCCTTTTCTCTTTCTTAAGGGCTGGGAGATAATCTCTACAAAATGCCCAACAAATGTTAACGACACTTTACCGTCATTGAGTTACAGGCTATAATGGGCTAATCTAGCCGTCTGGGGTGCCAAAATAAAACTTGACTGGAGGTTGAATGGGTATTTGAAATTACTTTTCTGGTCGGCCATTAAGCTTGAGATGTAATTTCAAATTTTACATAATGAAGCAGAAGATGTAACAGATTTCTTTCTTATATGAATCTTGATCTGATAAAAGCACGAGAGTCATCCACTTGTCGGGTTAATTTTTAAGTTATTTTGAAGCCCCACTCCGGCTTTTACTGGGAGCCCTAAATTTAGCCGGGCCTGATATACGGCCTAATAGCTGAACAGGGTTTCCGGGACCCTCTCTCCATCGGTGATCCTCATCCGCATGGTGGCACTTAGTGTCACCGGGTGTTTATCGCTTGTGTGATGTATTGGTGGGGTATAACTTACATACAAAAGCACGAACCACTCTTAACTTCTTATAAAAAAATGTATACTCCTCTTGTAATGATAATTGTTTTTTTTTTTTTTTTTGCTCTCTAAAATGCAGTCTTCCTTGTCATTGCTGTGGCCACGTATGTAAATCACAATGAGGTCTATTGGTAAGCATGACATGGGGAATCCCGTGTCGACCCAGCCTGAAAATGGACACCACAAAATGTCCAAACAAGTAAAGGCATAGAAAGTGACATCAGTGCATGACCCAAAAAGTGTTGGTCTCTAAAAATTGAACAACTCCCCAAGGCCTAGATACAGATCCATTACTTGTGACTATAAGAACAACATATTAAAGGGCCCTTTTCAATGCCATCATGCGTATTTGACACATACTGTTAGATCTATATTTTAATTAGCTGATCAACATTCGCTCGTGATGTAGTCAAAATCCCGCCGGCATCTTTACTTTCCAGGACTTTACCAGGTACCCATATTAGTATCAGGTCTATCTGGACGCCAAGATCATTTATGGAGCTCCGCTGAGCTCTGAAACCATGACCTTCTGATCCGCAGGCGAATGTCTAGCCGCTATACCACAAAGGCTCCGAAAAACAAAATACTACTGTTATATTGTTCACAAAATGTTTTACTGGCTTTCATTTTTTTTCCGCAGCTGACAGATATTTGCATGCTTGGTTTTCAGTTCAGAGAATGAGTTCATTAACTGCACACACACACACACACACACACACACACACACACACACAACTTGCAGCAATGATTTTAAAAAAACACACACACACACACAAAACCACAAATACTGGCAAATAAACCATGTTTGTTATCGAAGAAATCGTTTCAAAAGCTACATATCATTATCACATGATGACGGACACATGTAAATCTGTTCTTTCTCCAGTAAATTTATATTTTAAAAACAAAAACTTTCGACAAGAAGTGATTTACACTATTGTAAAAAAAAAAAAAAACGTGGAACTGCCAACAAGAGGCAACACAAAGTTATGAAATAAAAGGGATATAATTTATGTAATGCAAGCGAAATAGTTTTGGAATTACAAGGGGCAAAAACAATAAACTGTGTGTAAAAAAAAAATCGTTAACAATTAAAGACAAGTCCGTGTTTATGTTTATTGTTCATTTGCATCACAAGGTTTAGAAATGGACCTTCTGATCCGCAGGAGAGTATGTCCTCCAAGTGCTTTTAGGCTGGTTGTGGTTGATGTAATGACGGGTGGCTTCCACAGTTTTTATTGTTTTCAAAAGGGACAGCAAAGGACGTCTGTGTTATTTCCACTGTCACAGGAACGGGGCAGATTAGATCACTTTTCATCCTTTTTAGGATGCCATTTTTCTTTATTTGAAGCCCTACTCTGGCTTTTGCCAGGGGCCTCAATATAGCCTGGCCATAAATTTGGCCTAGAGGCTGAACGCGGTTTCTGGGACCTCTCCACGGTGATCCTCACCCACATGGTGGTACATTGTGACATCTGGTGTTTATCGCTTGTGTGATGTCCTGGTGGGGTGGAAAGTCAATCAGTCGGAGCAGATACTTCAATAAAATCATCACCTCGCGGGATGCAATTTTTTGTTCGCTTCTGCCAGGGGCCCTGAATATAGCCGGGGCATAGATATAAATATGGCTTAACGGCTGAAAGTTTCAGGGACCTCTCCACGGGTGATCCTCAACCGCATGGTGGTACTTTGTGTCACCGGGTGTTTATCGCTTGTGTGATGTCCTGGTTGGAAACAACTACCTTCTACCGGAGTAGATATGGGGCGATCCGGCAGCAGGCAAGTTAGAACCTCAGTCAATAAAAAAATTTTTTAAAGTCTAGCATAATTTTCTTTTGTCTTTTTTCATTTGTTTATATTCTGCTTTGTAGGGCTAGGCTTCGCAGGTTAAGATATACTCAAGGGGTGAGGGATGGTGTCTACCTCGAGTGCTAGAGGTTCCGGGTTCAATCCCCTGTAAGGGCTGGGGAATTTTCACGTGGACTTGGACTTCTAGTAATTCCCTCCTGGTCTCTGGGTAGTGAGATCAGACGTCCGTGTGCGTTGTTGCGCACGTAAAAAAAAATCATTTGGCAGTTGGAAATCGAAAACAGTAGCCTAACGGCGCTGCCGGGACAAAAATTTGGAGTTAAAAATTTACCCAAAGTATTTCAGGATCCTCGCTGGTGCGACAGAGCCTATGAACTGTGCTGAGCTTTTTCGGACTCAGACTTGAGTTAGAAGAACGGAACACGTATTGGTTATGATGTTGATCCGTTGTTCAAACCTCAAAAAGAGATGCTCAGTATCTGGGTCAGGGAACGCTTGGTATGCTGCGATGTTGTGGAGTCTCAAGGTACCAGCGATTCCTTTAATCTATCCATTTTCTTCTTGGTCGCGCTCTCCATCTTTGTATTTCTACTTTCATATTGTACTCTGCTTGCTGACATTATTGGATTCATTCTCGTTAAATAACCTAACCATTTCAGTCTTTGTTTTTCAATGCATTTAATTATAGGTGTTGTTCAATAGCTCTTTTTTTTTAAATTTTATTTCTCACACAAACTTTTCTACCTTTGTTCATGACTTTTGTCAAACATTTCATTTTGCAGGTGGTCAGGTTTCTTGAGTGATCTTTAGTCAATGTCCAAGTCTTGACACTGACAGTACAAGGTTCTTTCTCCATGGTATGATTAGCTGCCTTACACAAAGCACAAACTCCCACAATGATCCCCAAGAAACACACACAAAAAAGCATGAAACTCCCATGAACCCAAAAGAAAACTACCTGACCACTTCACCATGGAGACCCCAAACCACCAGAATAAAAGTGAAGCAGTCAGTGAAGAGCACAAAACAAGCTGAACACACTTAATTATTCATATGACAGGTTGAGGGACAAAAACACTACTGGCTACTGTGGGAATTGAAGGACCCTTTTCCACGCCTTCAGGTGTATTGGGTATTTCTTCTTAGCAAAGCCGAGTTGTAAACTCTGGTTTTCCACCCACTCCTAGGCTTTGATCTTGTTACAGAACTTGAGTTTTGCATGCAGTTTTTACAGATCTGGCTTATTTATATGCTTATTTACAATCACTTGTTGGCTCCTTGCCTCTCAGGCAGATACACTCTGACTTAGACTTCTAGTTAGTCACCTTCTATGATAAGCTTGTTAGGCAGGCAGTGGGACTATTCTTATTTTCTGCCAAAATGGGGCCCTGGAACCCACATGGGGAGTATTGGGCACATCATGCTTGACCTATATTTGATAAACTAATCAACACTTAGTGGGTGATGTGGTCAACATCACACCAGTTCCCTTTACTTTTCAAGACTTTGCCTAGTAGCCATTTAAGGCAAAGTCAGTTTGGGAGCCACGATTAATTCTGTTTAAGTCCCACTCCGTTTGGATTTGAAACCACAACTTTTAGATTGGCAGGTGAGCTTATTGTGGCAGTTAATACATTCAAAACAACAACAAAGAAGAAAAATATAAAATAAACGAACACGTTTAAATGTCATGATTAGGTGTGAAGCAAGAAAAACAAAACCAACTAAATAATAAAACATGTTAGTAGTTTAACCAATGCAGAAAAAACAATAACAGTTAACACTTTATAAACTTGCTCACTGTGATTTCCTCTGATCTTCCTGCAGTGATTTTCTCATAACCATTACTTGAAATAGACAAAGCAGTCTTATTCCACATGTTACCAAATTCCGAGAATGTGAGGAAGTGACTTGGACATCAGGCACATAACCATATTCCGAGAATGTGAGGAAGTGACGGACATCAGGGCACATAACCAAATTCCGAGAATGTGAGGAAGTGACTTAGGCATCAGGCACATAACCAAATTCTGAGAATGTGAAGAAGTGACTTGGACATCAGGGCACATAACCAAATTCCGAGACTGTGAAGAAGTGACTTGGACATCAGGGCATATAACCAAATTTCGAGAATGTGAGGAAGTGACTTGGGACATCAGGCATGTAACAACTGATGAACATTCTGCTCACTTCATTTACATGACTGCATATTCTTTAGTGGACGTCGCAAACTAATCCAAGGATTTGTTGGGTGTTTTGCTGTTATACTAGGTATGTTCAGTAGCGTTCCATTGCTTCCTAAATCCTTTCATTCCGAGAAGAATTTGTATAACGAGCTACATTATTTAATCTTTTTAGCTCCTTCGTCACTTTTGACTTTGGCTGACCTGGCAAATTGCTGGAAGAAGGTTAAGGTTAACAACATACAAGTATTCATTGTAAAAAATAGATAACATCAAACATGTTAACTGAAATTAGAGGTAAAGTAAAAGAAGAGTATAGGACCCTTTTTTATCCAAGTGGTGCATTCGAAACAGGATGCTAGACGCATATTTCATATGAACCAATCAGCATTTGGTGGTCTAGGTGATCAACATTATGTCAGCTGCCTTTACTTCCCAGAACATTACATGGTACCCATTTTAGGCTGGATCGACTCAGGAACCAAGATCCATACTAAAACAAATCTTCCCCGTGTGAGTTCCCGACGCAACCCCCCTTAAAAAAAAGGGGGGGGGGGGCAGGAGGGGACCTGCCGCCACTTTCCCCTCAACAAGTATGTCGTGCAAGGCTAACAAGTCTTTGTCTCTCTGATGCATGTGTGCACAAAAACATATTTTAAGTTAGTTGTGTGTTCTTTAGAGGACGTTGCAGAACCAACTTCAGCATTTTTTTTGGCTGATGTGGTTTTTGCAAACAAATTTTATGTTGTTTGCCACTGCTTGCTGAAGGTCAGCTCTCAATACCTGTGTCAAAACCAATGCAAGGCAATCTGCTGCCAAATCACCTCCAGCTGGGATTGAATCCAGGCATACAAAGTGTGTTCGCAATGCCTAAGCCACAGATGCGACCATATATACACGTTCTTTAACACAGACACACACATATATATACATATATATATATACACACAAGCTTTAAAAATGTATTTCATTTCTCTTTTATCTTGCATAGAAACAATGTGACACTAAGAAGAAGAAGAAGAAGCAGAAGGAAAAATAATACTGATTCGATGAGAATCTGAACCCATGACCTTCCGGTTGACAGGCAGGCTATGATAAATAGAGGAACGACAACTCAACCAATGATGACAAAGGTGGTAAATGAATTATTTTGAGGACTTAAAACAACTCACTGGTACTTAACCTGAGCTATGAAAAATACATGGTGTCAAGCTGGTGTGAACGCTATTCTCCTAACCTGGTAACAAAGTACCAACTACATTGAGACTGTGCTGGAGAGCTCTCCTTTCCAATGTGTTCAGCTGAGATGAGTTGAGCTGAGCTGAGTTGAACTAAGATTAGCTGAGAAGGGTTTAAGTTAAGCTGCCATGAACTTAGCAGATTTTGAGTTTAGGTGAGCTGAGATAAACAAATATGAGTTGAGTTGAGTTAAGAACCATCATCCAAGCACTCTTGAAATTACCATAATACTCTATTCCTAATTTCAGCAGCTAGCGCATTGTTCTACTTCCAATGTAGCAGTCTCATTGCATGTCCGCCTTGCCTTTACTTTCAGTGTTGAGTGTCGGCCACATTCCCTGGCCATTCTCCGCCGCACCACTTTTTTCACACTGTGATGATCTATTGGGCTTCGGCAATGTTTACTTGCTCCCAAAGGGTCTTGTTAGCATTTAGCCTGTCAAGCATCATTGCACCACCAAGTGGCACAGAGACAGAAAATCTGTATACCAAACACACCTGCATACCATGAAGAAAACATCCAAAAGACACTAAACACCCATCGCACTCTTCTTCTTCTTCAAGTTTACCGGCTGTAAACTCTGACGGAAAGTTCTGGTTGTTTATCAACTTCTGGACTTAGTCTTGTTTTAGAACTTGAGTTTTGCATGCACATCCATTTTTCAGAACTGAACTATTTGTATGCAGACTGTTGGTTTCTTGCCTCTCAGGGAGATTCACTCTGACTTTGAAGGAAACACCCTTAATTAGTTGACTTTTACAAAATGCTTGTCAAGGGGGCAGTGGGTCTATTCTCCCCCCTTTCCCTAACTACAGGGAACCAGATCCAACAAGGGAAACCATTCCCATTCAAGCCAAGAATCCAACAGTGTACAAGACTGGCACTGGATAGTCACAGTGATAGAGACACATAACTAAATGTACACCAAAGATTTGTGTACAGACATGAACATCAATGCCAGGGCTATTCAACTAGCAAGTGGCACGCGGATCATTGCCAGCTATACTGGATTAATGATCCTTGTATGCTAGGACTGGGCTTCTATCCCATGACGATCCCCATTTTATAACTTATGGCCCCTGAGTAAACTTAGCTGAATAGCCCTGGTCTATGCTATATGGCAAAGCACATGAATGATGATGATAATGATTATGATGTTGAGACAACAACAACAAAAAAGGATACCACAACCATTGGCTTGTCTTTCAAGAGAAGACCATTAGTATCTCTGACTGCCTTTACAGCACATTTCTCATTTGGTAAAGTGACAAAAGCTTGGCCTTTCATTCTGCCCTCTTTCATGAGTTTGATATCAAATCTGTGAGAAACGAGATGTAAATGTGTTTAACTATCATCATCCTAATACAGATGCTTGTCCTGCAGAGAATTTTCCCTCATTTAGTATTTTAAAATTTCTCTCTATCATTAACCAGTTCTACCTATGCTGCTATCACATATACAATCATTTTATTATATTTTAGGTCACCTCTAAATTATAACCATACAGATGAGATGTTTTAGGACAGCTATCAGAATAACTGGGGAGATAAAATTAGACATATTTGATGAAAACCAAGAATGAATTAAGTCATTATTTATTAAAGAATAAAGGAATAATAACTGTTCTGGCCATGTGACAAAACTGGTATTAACAAACATAAACAGCCACACTAAAGACGTATAATAAGCACATAGTGAGAGGATGTGAGGGGTCATTTTCGCCGTTAAGACTGTATCTCATTATCATAAATTATTCTCAGTGGGTGGTAGTGAGAATAATGTATGTGTGACCAAACTAAGTGTCAAATCAAAGCCAACAGCATACCAAGCAAAGAAAACATGAATGCCTGAGAACAGTCTGGAAGCTCATGAGGAAAGTGCAAGCCTATTTGAGCCATAAGAGATTGAGATAGTTGAGTCTTGTTTTCAAAACTAGGAATGTGATGTCAGGTGGCGCTGGAAGAGTGAAAGTTGAGTGAATCAATAAACAAGTAAATGTCTGATCAAGCTTTGACCGTGGGTTCCAAGAAAACTTGGCCATCTTGTTAAGCCTGACATCTTGCAATGGCCGAACATCACCTACTGTCCATGTGAGTGGTTATGAATGCAGGTGAGACCTGAGGTATCAGTCATTGTAAATGCTTTGTTTAGTCAGGTAACAACATATTTAATGTTCTGTATAATTACCCTAGGTGTCCAATCTGTGGTGCATTGACCGAGACACATTATTGGGATAATACACAACAGGTCATCAGCTGTTCTGTGTTTCTCAACGTGAACGTTTATATTTCAGGCATGATGTGTTGAAGAACTTATCAATGTGTCTGAAAAGACTGCATGAATTAGAGCCAAGAGATTCATTGCAGAAAAAATCTGCATACGTTGGAACAACTTCAAGGACAACATCATAAAAAGAAGGCCAGCTTACACATCACATGTTAAAGAACAAACAGAAGATCCATCTCACTTAACAGAGGTGGAAGAGAGTCCAACTCTTAATATTTATTGATACATAGTGAAACAGATGTGCATGCCTAACTCAACTCCTTGATCAAGACCAAAGTATAGGAGTGGTCGAACATCCACAACTTCCCCATGAAGTTTACAACTGGTGAACGCTAATAAGATTTCCCTGACATTGCATTGAAAATTTACAACTCACATGTTTGTTTCCAGCTCATTCTCCCAGTCTACATATCGGCCATAGATCCAGTGAATGTCCTATGTGAAGTAAATCAGACATGGATTAAAATGCAAGTGTTAACAATGACATTAGCCTGAATGAGTTATAATGACTTCTTCTCATCCTGTGATTATCCTCAAAAGGGTGGTTCCTGTTGTGGTTTACAGCTAGGCTGCAATATCTGCACCCTTCAGCTCAACACTTCTGATTCTGATTTATACAAATTGCTAATAAGTCACATTTTACAAAAAGCAATATCACAGCGTTCTGATTGGCTTATACAAAGTGGATCAAGCAACATGTGCCCTATGTGCCAATGATATGGAAATTTACTTGTTTTGTTTACTTATGGTCCATGATGCCATATTTATCTTGAAAACACTTTCAGAAAGAATGAATGAAATGAACAGAAATCTGTATTTGTGCTTCACTGATTACACTAAAGCATCTGATAAAGTGAAACATAAAGAAATTATTCGAATTTTGGAAACCTTGAACACTGATTTTAAAGATCTGAGAATAGCAAAAAACATGTAATGACAACAAGAAGCAGCATAAGGACTGACAACCAAGTTGGAACTTTTCAAAACATTAAACAAAAGACATTAGACAGGGATGTGCACTATCATCCGCTTTAATCAATGTGTACAGTGAAAGAATAATTAGATCCATACATGGTATGCCATGAATATCGGACCACAAGAGATGTTACTCGTCTTGGCTGCGGGTAAATCTCTCTGATCGAGAGATTTACCCGCAGCCAAGACGAGTAACATCTCTTGTGGGCGACTCCTCGCAGCAAGATCCTACCTACGTACATCCTCTGTCAATCCTCTGTGTCGTTCTCACCGCGCTGAGGTACACTACGGCAACAACTTTTCATATGCTGGCTAGGAAATAATGTCCGACAAAGTTATACCCCACGGCACACATGCAAGCTCAAAGTCTGACGATCATAATTCGTACCGATTTGGAAAAAGTCCAAATGTCCGTATCCACTGGTCCCACTCGCCTGAGTGCTGGAACCAAACAGGTGAAGCCACGCCTGACGCATTTTGCTTCCCCATTCTGTCGTGCTAAGGGCACAACTGAAACAACGTTAAAGGTGTCTAACGTGCGATGAAAAAGAATGTACCTATTTGTGTGGCCACAAAAGTCCTGGACCTGCGGGCCGCTCCCCACTGATCTCTGAAAAGTGCAGCCTTGTAGCGCGGGAAGCTCAATACACGGTTGTGAGGTTAAGCAGTCATGGGCAGGACGTGACGATTCCTTGGGTGAGCCCAGAACCATGTGTCAGCTCTGCATTTATGGAAGCCTCCTTGGATGGCGGGAAATGCCCATGATCTGTCCCTGCCTTCCCTTGAGGGCTGATAATTCTACCTAGGGCTGCCTTAAGGACGATATTCCAGGGGGCCACACCTGTTATAGGTCAAAGAGGACACCACACAAATGAGGCAACATCTTGACCCACACAAAACAATGGCCACAGTCAACCTAGAAATAGGCTTGACGTCTTCCCTCGAAGTCGGAGTACATCTGCCGGAGAGGCGGGAAACGAGAACTGCAAACAAATAAGCCAGTAAAACGGATGTACACGCAAAACTCAGGTCAAGGTAAAAGCCAAAAGTCTATTTGGGCGAACAACCGCGACTTACCGCCGGAATTCACAGCCAGTGAACAAGAAGAAGAAAGAAGAAGAATGTGTACAGTGAAAGAATAATTAGATCCATACATGGTATGCCATGAATATCGGTTGGTGGGCATATTGTTAACAAACTGTGATACGCTGACAATATAGTTTGATCACCGAAAATGAAACAGAACTGCAAGAAATGATGGACAAAATTGTAGCAGAAGTCAAAACAACGGTCTTAGTTCTATCAGTAGAAAAAACAGAAGTAGCAGTAATTACAAAGAAAACTGGCCACAGAAATGCAATATCAAAGTAAACGAGACAAACCTCAAGCAATCTGATATTCTTTGCAATCCTTCTTTATCAATTGAGATGAGAAAGATAATTCTATAAAGTTACATAAATCCTATCCTGATATAGGGAAGTGAATCATAGACAGTTGGTAGATAAATGAAAAATTATTTCGAAGCTGCTGAGATGTGGTTTTAAAGTGTTGACTGAAAGTACGCGAGAAAGAAGTCTGTGGACAGACATGACTATCGAAGCCACATGGCATGGACTTTAAGAAGAAGATGTCTGTGATCAGCCAGAGGGAACTAAAAGTGACATTGTCAATTTACCTGCACCAGATTTTATCTCATCTGGTTGAGTCTCTATCCCTAGTGCAGCTGGCCACTTATCACACAAACTCTACAGCTCCAGCAAAGACCTCCCAATGATGACTGATGAGCACCTTTCCGTCTTTCCAGACAATAGTGTTATACTGCGCTATGAGGAGGCATAAGACTCCCACCCATGGCGATGGCGAGTGTGACTAGCAAGACCCGCCCATGTCAAGAAAAGTCTTCCACAATGATAGCATGGAATTTCAAGACCATTGTTGTCAACATTTGTGTTTAATCCATTTCTTTTCAGATGCTCAGCTCTCATCCTTTCTGCAATCATTTCTTCCTTCACTCTCATTCCCTTCCTGATATGCCCTTTCTACACAACACTGTCCATGGCATTTTGTTCCCATGAGTCCACCTCAATACTTGTATCATTCATGTCCTGCTTGCACACATCTTTATACCGCAGTAGAGGGCGGCCTCTACATCTTCTTCCCGTCTTTAATTCACCGTAAAGGGACACTGCCATCCTCCATGTGTGACCCAGCCACCTGAGCCTTCGTAGACTGAGCATGGAAAAGACTGTTGAAGTAACTGCTCTTTCCAGTACCTCAGTGTTCGAGATTTTGTCCTGCCACTTAATGCCAAGTATTCTTCTTAGGCATCGCATGTGAAAGCTATTTAGCCATTTCTCCTGGTGCAAACAGGTTGACCAAGTTTCACTGCCATAAAGCAGAGTGCTGAGAACACAAGTTTGATAGACAAGGGTTTTTGTTTTGACTGTAAGCTTTCTGTTCTCCCAAACTCTCTTTGTCAGTCTGCTCATTGTTGTTGGTGCCTTACCTATACAGATGTTGATTTTGTTGTTCCAGCAATAGTTTATTCAATGTGGTAAAAAGGTCTACTGTCTCAAGCTCTTCACCGTCAATGTAGACCTCCCAATATAGCTCAATTTTAAGTTAAAATATTACCAGAAAATCTTCCCTTGAAATTGCTTATATGTCTTTAGTCTCCTAGACTGACCTAAATCATCTTTACAGAAGTTCTATTAGTCTAAACACTTAAAGTAAAAGGACCCTTTTCAATGTCCTCAGGTGTACTGGGCATATAAGGCTAGATCTATATTTAATAGACCAATCCCGCACTTGGTTGGTGATGGGGGTCAACATCGTGCCGGCTGCCTTTACTTCCCAGGACTGCACCTGGTACCCATTCAAGGCTGTGTCCAAATGAGAGTCAAGGTCATTTTGAAAAAAGTCCGGCTCCGCCAGGGACGCTAACCCACAACCTTCTGATCCGCATGCGGGTTTCTAGCCACCAACGCCACGGCAACTCCCCCCACTCTGAAAATCTTTCTTTAAAACTAATGGCCATCAAGCGAATATATTCTATGATTGAAAAAAAAAAGGGTAGATGATAATAAAGATTATAAAAACATAATGAAATGAAAATTACATATTCAAAAACAGATGGGAAGACATTTTACTTCAATGTATAGGATCTAGACCCCATTTTGACAGAAAAAAAAATAATAATAATTTTACAGCAAACTACAATAGACCATGCCAACCACACTTTTAAAGGTGAATGAAGAAAAAGACATTTCTATAAATATAATGGCAATTTGATTCACCTCTTCTGTTACATTCCTGGCCAGATTTTTTAGATACAGTCTGCAAGATGGCTCTCCTTCATTGTAATTTTTGAATACACTCAATTCTTTCCTTTCTGTAAAAATATAATATATGTTAACTGAAGTTCACTTTCAAGCAGACATCTGGCATACAAAAATAAGATAAATTCAGCACTTTGCATGGCAAACCTTTACATTTGGAGAGCTCAGCAAAACATTGTTAACGAGAACTGATGATTGTTGTCTATACTACGACCTGCTGTATGGTGCAGAAACCTTGACAGTCAACGAGCAACTAAAAAATTTAATGAAGTCTTTGGGGATGTGAATATACAGAAGAACAGGTCACATTGCATGGGAACTGCTTTCCTTCTTAGCGTTCACTGGCTGTATATTTAGGTAGAAATTTCCGGTTGTTCATCAACTTCTGAAATTTTATCTTGTTCCATAATTTGAGTTTTGTATGCAGATTATTCCTTGCCTCTTAGGCATATGAACTCCGATTTTGAAGGGGGTAGTGGGTTTATTCTTTTTCTTTTAAATGGGGCATCAAAACCTATACAGGCATATGGGAAAAAAAATAGTCCAATACAGAGGTAATGAAGAAACTCAGATAAAGAAAAAGGAGTGGCAGAAAAAAGAAAAAAGAGGCAATTTTACCACATTCCCTAAAACTATACTCTCTGAAAAAGTTGAAGACAAAAGAGAGAGGCAATGATATAAGTTGGAGGACAACATGAAAGAACAGATGAATAGCAGTCTGAGAAGGATGCAACCAGGTAAAAAGACAGAGAATGTTGGAGATTTCATCCAGCCAACCTTGACTGTGGAGACAGTACTGGATGGATGTCTAGTGTGATGACAAAAACATCTGATTAGTCCACAAATGAATATTTCAGATTGTGTGTCAAGGTTTATTTAAAATGTCCAACTGATTTAGGTAAGAAGAAAAAAAACTATAGTGTATAGTGGTTTGTGCATTTGCTTGTCTAGAGAGTGGTCTAGATTAAACCTGCAGCAGAGATCAAGATTATGTTTATTAAAATAAAAAACAATTGTTGAAAGGGATCAAAAAAGAGATAAGTGAAATACAGAAATTATTAAAATACATAAAAGGAGGGATTAACTAAAGGCAAGCGAGCACGAGGCAGGCAGTACGAGGATAAAATCAAGAGACCTTGTGAGAGGCTAACACTAGGCGAAGAAGCCCAAGTACTGGAGCCCAGCCTCACTGTGAAGATGTCACCGAATTAATTTATTCATGACCTTTAATCATCTGCAGGATTACAAAGTTTGTCAGAAATGCATAATCAAGAATTTCCGCTCAGTAAAGTGCACTGATCATGGGTTCGGGTCCTGGCGGCACCAGACTTTTTGCAAAAATGACCTTGGCTCCCAGGTCGACCCATCCTTCAGTGGGTACTAGGTCGAGCCTAGAGAAGTAAAGGCAGCCAGCATGATGCTGACTACATCACCCACTAAATGCCAATTGGTCTATAAAATGGAGATCTGGCCCTATATGCCCAATACACCTGAAGGCTTGTAAAAGGGTCCTTTGCTTTTATTTTTAAAGGACACTGAAAACTTAGTTTATACCTTTACCCACCGGGTCTCATCTTATTCTGCACAGCCCCAGCTATAAAGCAGGTATATACATGCAGGCAATGTTAGACAAATGTGGAATATTTTTCTGAACATGAACTGGACATGTTAGTCACATGCTTTCCAATAGCATAATGGAAAATCTCTTTTTCTCTGGTCCTGTTCTGCCTTTCAGCATCAGGTTCTGAAGAGGCATCAACTGCCAGCCATGGAATGTGCTATGTAGATGCTGGTATTTTAGGTCTTGGATATTTCATCTATCCATTGCTAGCAATTGTCGACCTCTAGTCTGCTTCCATTATGTCTAAGTGACAAGGCGAAACAGTTTCGAGGTTGACTTTCTGCCTGAAGAAAACGAATCACACCATGAATTTCACAGCTGGCAGGACAGGCAGTGACAGTGTCCATGTTTATTTGCTGGTGGTTAGTGAACCACTCAACAAATATGAATGTCCACTGACGTGTAGTGAGCTAATTAGGCTACTGAATGGTGCAAGCACTGAATGGTGTTGGCATGGAAAATGTTTTGTTTTTTTAAACCAGCCTATCAGAGGTTGATTTTGGAATAGCCCTTGTAATCCTTTATTAGTAATTGCAAACAATTGCAGCATTTGCAGGCTGTTTGTGATTTTGCTAAGCAATTTTATGTTCAACAATTTGCCACTGCTTTCTGAATGATCTGATGCTCTGATTTCTCAACCATTTAGCTATGATCAAAGTGTTGTGTCTGTTGGCTCTTTTGGCTAAGAGCAGCTCTTC